ATTTCTTAAGAAATGGTAAGTTGTGAACTTCAACATGGATGTTAAACATACTATCATTGCATCATTATATGTTCCATGTATGGTGCTCTTGAAAAAGTGTTGTCTTTTATCCAATTACTGCAAAAGATGGAGATCATATATATTGAGGCTATTATATAAGGTAGGAATAAGTATGCAAACTACAATTTTAAATATTTTTTCTTATAAGATTCAGCAAAGATGGTGGAAAGTCCAGCAAAAGGTCTGACATTGAGATGCTATCAATGAAAGATTTCCAAACATTGCTTTCACATGACACCAAATATGGTTAACTATTCTGCAATGTTTTTCATGACTATCAATAAAATATAAACCTAATAAATCCAGTTAAGCCCTGAACCTGTTTTTCAGGAAATGACATTTTCAGGAAATGACATTCCCAGAACAAATGACTATATCTTCACTTCTAAAAGGGGTAAATTAATAATATTTTTTCTCAAAGTAATGATAAACCTGTGAGTTGGATGTAGAAAAGTCAGAATCAATATAGATTTTTTTTATTTTAAAGTAAATTCAGATTGAACATAGTAAAAAAATTTAAATTATAGTGTCCGTCCAAAATAAAACCATTACTTATTGTGAAAACCACCCTTGAATGATGGGATTGAAGACTAAAATCTTTAGGAATCCAAACTATAACATATAATAAGTACCCTGTATCAAGATTGATGCAAAACAAGTGACATTTGACCTTTTTAGAGAGGTTTAGCAAAAGAAAACACTTCTGGGGTCATTTGGGTGCATTTGCCATATCTCTGGAACCCCTCGGTCGATTTTGATGATTGACACCTCTTTTGAACCGTTAGAGCCAATAGAATCGAGGGGAAGTTCCTAAAATCCATCTAAACATTACCCATTGGTGAATGAGTGATGCGTAGCCAGAATGCCCAAAACCGGAAGCTGTCATACACTCTCGTAGCTATCATAGCAGCTATGAAAACTCCGTTATTGACATAAATATGATGATGGATTATCAGTAATCATTTCAAAGTGACACAGACACAACTTTTGATCAGAAACAGCAAAAGATAAGACATATTTGCCGTTTTTGCTCCGTAAAGCTACGTGGTGTGTTGTCTGGGTTTGCTTCCCCTGCCGCGAGTGATGATACTTATATTTCTAGAATATGTGGAATCTCAGCTTTAATCTGATATCTTGTTTGTGCAGATCCGATAAGTAATAAGGATATTTTACCGTGAGTTCTGTGCTAAGTGCGTTAGCATTTTTTCGCTCAGGGCTAATTCAGAAGCTTGGTATTACCTTTGTGTTTCGTTTAGCTAAAAATTGTTAATATTGTCTGATAGCTGAGTTTCTTCCCGTTAAGTGGGTATGACACATTCATAGTTTGTTAAATGTTAAGAAGCCCTCAGACACTGTTTCTTCCAAGATGTTGCGTTTTGCCCAACACGGGCAAAACGGGGCATGGGGCTTAACTGGATAAGCAACTTTTACTGTGTTCCACATCCCCTTCCTGCTGATGAGATTTGGTTATATTGAACTGAGACACACTCATCCGTTACTGGAAATCAATTTTGGACAATCCATTAAGTAAAACTAAGAGCGACCTTATATGTTATATTTCTTACATCCATTGATAATGGTGCCTAATTGTAATATATTTGGGTAGCCAATAGCCTACTCATTGGCAATTCACCTAAACATAAGAAATGTGTAAAGAAAGTGAGACAAATAGTCAACCTTAAAAAAAGAAATGCCCATTACCTTGATAATCCAAAACCCATGCAAACAATATTGTGTTGTGTAATATTTCCCCTCACTACTTACATTTGGTTTCTCTTTTGGATGTCTGTGTACTGTGATAATGTGGCATAATATTTGACCAAATATATAACCAACTAATGTGGTTTGAGGCTACTTTGGATTTTCTTTCCAACAGGTTGACTAACTGACATTCTTGACCGTTACTTCCGCTAACTTCGTAGTAAAAATAAAGCCTGTCACAGAAAGATAAGTAAGCTAGCAAACAAAACGTAGTTACATGAAGCTAATATACGTTTTAAACCGTGAAAAAGTGGCTTAAAAGGACACAAATAAACATGATAACGGGCTAATAATGTGGGTGTGATTTGACCACACAGGCCTCTGATATTAGGCGACCGTTAATGTCAGTTTGAGTTTACGAGACCTTACATTTAAAACTACACGACCGTTAGTGTCAGTTTATGAGATGTTACATTTAAAACTACTCGACCGTTAAGAGGACATGATGGACTCACCTCAGCGGGACTCAGGAGAAAGGTAAGCCGACAAGAAGACACCTAAATCGGATTTAAATCTCAAGTTTTCATCCTGGCAGCGCAGGGAAAGTCACTTCATGTTTCTGTTTGTTCGCTTGTTTTTCCTCGGATAAAAAAAAGCAGCACCCTCCCGGCAGCTCCTTCTTGTTTCGAGTATCAAAGTGTGAATTATTGAAAGAGTGTTTCTTCTGCTGCACCGTGAGATCGGTTACAACTTGTAACCCGAATCCTCCTCCTCCTACTCCTTGTGAAAAAAAAAAAAAGTTTCAAACTTGAGGGCGACCTGGAAATCAACAGATTGATGTTTGCTTGGGCCAATGAAGGAGCAACAAGGGGGAGTGGACCAGCCCCAATCAGGCCGAAAAGAAAGGGCCATTTACAGCCAGGACGTTCCCTGCCCCCATCTGGGTTTCCAGTAATTATCCCAGTCCCCCAGACCCAAGGCTGAGAAGTTCCCAGAGGAAATGGTGCTCAGGGAACAATGAGCAGGAACTGTGGGAGCAGTTATTCTGTCATGCAATAAATGATAAACTGACTTGCTAAGGTACACAATCAGACATGACAACAGAAAAGGGTTAGCCACTTTGCACTGTTTTTCATTTCTATCATTAAATAAAACACCTGATATGCAACCTTTACTGTCATCAGTGTTATAATTAAACACATATGTACTCAAGTACTGTACTTACTCTACTTGAGAACTATTTACACAAGATGTCTCTTTATGTAATTATACTTTTACTCCCCTACATTTATTTTACATATTTTGTTACTAGGGGCTTTGCAGATTTAGGTGATTGATACAAAATGCAAATGGCATAAATGATAAACTTACTTCTTAAGGTACATATGCAGACAGGACAACAGAAGCCGTTGTTGCATTGTTTATTATAACTATTGTCAAATAATTATACACCTGATATGCAACCTTTACTGTCATCAGTGGTGTAACTACTGTACTGTATGTATTTTACTTGAGTATTTTCACAAGATGCTACTTTATATTTTCACTCCACTTTGTAGGCAAATGTTGTACTTTTTACTCCACTACATTTATTTTACATATTTAGTTACTTTGCAGATTTAGGTGATCAATACAACATTCAAATCAACACACATTACAATATATTATTATAGGTTATGTTATCCAGTGGTGTATAACATATTTCAAGTGCAACATTGAAGTGAGGAACACATAAATAACTTGAATACAATAATACAAAAATATCTGTTGCTCAAAATGCCCATTTTGCATAACGAGTACTTTTACTTAAATACAATTTCGAATGCAGGACTTTGACTTGTAACTTACTATTTTACACTGTAGTATTGCTACTTTTACTACAATAATCTGAGTAATTCTTCCATGTCTGACTGTCATCCACATGATAGCTGAGTTTTTCTATTTATTTCATGTTTTTATTTTATTAAGTGTTTCTAAAAATGTTTTTATTTGAGCATCCACTGTTTTTTTTAATGGTTCTATTTAATTTTCATCTTTGCATTTATTTTCTTATTCTAAATCTCTTTGAACTTTATCTTGTCAAAAAAATAAATAGTACATTGATTTAATAGTTTCATAACATTCAATTAGTAATGAGAACACACACACACTAACACATAGAGCGGATGTTTTTTTTATGGGATACAGGAAGTTTGTCATCTGTGTAATGAGGAAACAGGAATTCCTGAGGTCGAAATATCCTTCTTGCATTGTTATTTTAACTGTGAGGCAATGCCGCAGCCCTGATATCATACTGGGAGTTCTAGCCCTTCAAGCCTCAGGTGGTCACATCTCAGTGTTATTAAAGTAAGTCATATTTATTCTATCCCATAAACTAAGCCTCTCAATATTTATGTTATCATGCTGCTGCAAGTCTCTGCTATCATAAAACACTAGACAGCTGCAGTGGTGACATTAACCTTGTGCTCCCTCTAGTGGCATATTGTGACAAGTTGAGGCTACTGAACAGTGGCTGCCTATAAGTACAAAGTAGCAGGATAAAGATTAACACTAAAACACAGTGTAACATAAATCACCATAAACCAAAATTTCCACCAACAAAACACATGAGCTCTTTAAATGCAGCAAGGGTGCCACTGAATAAAATGGGTTTTACAATACATTTTACATTGTAAGGACAATTGTTTTCTTTCTACTTTTAAGATAATCTCCTTTTTAAGGGTACAAATAAACCCCTATGGACTGAAACACATTACATGTTCCATTTGTTTACCTCATATTTGCATCCAAAGCTAAGTCCTTTAAGGTGCAAATCTAGTTACATGAGATTGTATTCTGTAAATGTTTCTACACTTTGAAAACACTCTCTACTCTACCACTTGTTTACTTCATATCAAAACCCTTCAAAAAAAGGCTTTCAATATGGTGTGAATATGAAGTTTTCTATGTTGTAGCGGTCAGTCATACTGATAATCTAAGTAAATACAAAAACATACATACGTTTTTATTTAATACACTTATTTGTTCAACGGTTTTTCAACAACAGTGTTAATATTGTTGTTATATAGAGCAGGCGAATCATATTTTATTTACCACTGCAGTGGGAATAATGGCAAAAGCTTTAAAAAGTCAGTGGTTCTGCATTTCTGTAACACACACCTGTGCTTCAGTTGTTGAACTCAATTTCCCAGAATCCTTTGTGGAAAACAGGATGGTGACGTATTTTTGCTACGTGTCAGGAAGCTGTATGCAAACATGGCGGCGACACAGGGAGATGTTGATGAGCTCTTCGACGTGAAAAATGCCTATTATATCGGCAGTTATCAACAATGTATTAACGAGGCTCAGAAAGTGAAGGTAAGTGTCTAATACGGCATCAGTTACATATTTTAAAATAAACTGTTTTGTCCGTTATTTACTGTTATTGCTCTGACTAAAAGCTGTCAACGGATTTGAGCTACAATGCTAACATGCTAGCTCATACTTCTCTTTAAAATACTGCCTGTGTTTTTCTTTCAAGCCGTCAACACCAGAGAAGGAGGTTGAAAGGGACATGTTTTTGTACAGAGCATACATTGCCCAGGTGAAGTCATTTTCTTACGTAGAATTATTATCATGTCACATAGAGCTCAGTCTCTTGTTGTTAGCTACTTCACATTCATTGCTGTCAATTATTTTGCATATAAAAAGACACTGCTAATCTTCACTTGTTTGTGCTATTACAGAGGAAGTATGCTGTTGTCCTGGATGACATCAAGGCCAACTCTCCACCTGAGCTCCAGGCTGTCAAGATGTTTGCAGAGTATCGGTCCAGTGAAAGCAAACGGTAACAGCATGCATTTTAATGTTAGGTCCACATGAAACGGGCAGGGGACTACACTTGTTGTGTTGACAAAAACTCAATACATTCATGCACTTTTTTTTTATGGCTGAAAAGCTTTCAATTAGTATCAAAATTAGACTCAGCATCAACTACAACACTAATGCAGGTCCTCTTGAATGCACAGTTTTTGGAGTGCCTTCATAGAGACTTCAATAATGAAAGAATGTGTTTTTTACGTATTGTCTCAAGTATCCATCAGAAAAATATTCTCCACTCTGTACTGAAACCTTGATGTAAGCTTCATCGAAGGATTATTTTCATTGTCGATTTATTTGCCGGTTCTTTACTTCATTAATCTTTTCGATAAAAAAAACGTCAGAAAATGATGCAAAATGTCCATCCTAGTTTTGATAAAGCAAATGAGTGCCTTTTAAATGTCTTGTTTTGCGCTGCATTCTGTTTAATATCCAAAACAGTCGGGCATTGTTTCTGATAGCAACGTTTCTGATAGGGCCGTGGGTCCACATTTCCGATATTACGTCATATCGGACGCAAATCTGGATCAGCTCCGTTGTACCCCCGTTTTTAGAGATTTGGGTACGGAGGAAAAGAGAGAGGGTTTTATTTTCTGACGCTGCGTGAGTTCCCTGACACACCGGGGACACATGTTGATGTATAAAAGACATCAAAAAGTGCATTTTGCATGATAGGTCCCCTTTAATCATTACAGGGTTCTTGTGGATCTTTAAAATGTCATCACTTAAAAAGCCCTTCAGTTAATGAATTGATGTCTCAATTATTAACAGCATTTCTTGAATCAATCTTTCAAAAGTCTTAAATGTTAAGATGTGCAAAGTTGTATGTTTATGAATCTTTTTCTGACGTTGCTTTACAAATCCCCAAAATACTGATAATTATCCATTTGAGTTTAAATTCCTATTTTTATGTCTCGCAGGGATGCTATTGTTGCCGATCTAGACAAGAACATGGGTAAGAGCGTGGATGCTGCCAACACCACCTTCCTCCTCATGGCCGCCTCCATCTACTTCCATGAGATGAACTGTGACGCCGCTCTCAGGACTCTGCACCAAGGAGAAAGCCTCGAGTGGTAGGAAGGGATCAAGACTTCTCTTTTAAAAAGTGTCGGAAAGATGTTGTTCAAGAGGGTTTTGGCTACCTAGTTTTCTCCCAGTTGTGTCGCACTAGATAGTTTTGAGGGTTTAAAGACAAACGCCTGAAACTGACCTGAACATGTGTTGTTTATTTTTCAGCATGGCCATGACCATTCAGGTTTTGCTGAGTCTGGATCGTCTGGATCTGGCAAGGTATGGCAAAAACACATAAACAGTAAATTATTTACATGGCAAATTAAAGGTGGGGTAGGTAATTCACTTCAGAAACACTTTTTGTTATATTCCATGGAATGCTCTTAACATCCCGATAGCAATGATACATTAAATGCTTTGACAATAAAGCCGTGGCGCTGTAAAAAGCACGACCAATCATCTGAGCCGGCCCGGCTAAAATAACTGGATGGCCTACCTGCCTGTCAGCCTTCCATCTCGTGCACAAACTTATCTCGTGCCCTCATTGGTCATGTGCACGTTCGTGTGTGTTGGAGGAGGGGCTCTGTAAGGAAGTCTGAAGGAAGGGGCAGATTCTTTTCGGTTGTGTACTTTCAAATTCTCGCGCACTCGAGCTGGTTTCTCCATTCTTACCTACCCTACCTTTAAGGTTAGATTTATTGTTTTGTGTGAAACATCCAGGAGCTCTTTGATCATGTTTTGTAATGTCATTTGGTGGTAAGTCCGCACCTAACAACTAATCAAAGAGACTTTGCGTACACAAAAGTATATACTGTCCCTTTGAATTTGTTTGTAACAGTGTTCCTGTAATCCTTTTATTATGAAACTTGCATGCTTCATTCAAAGCATTGACATTTCGAATTCTGGATCATAGAGCATATAACTTGAAATGCGTGATCAATATTTCATCATGATCTTACGCCCTGATAAGATGAGCCTCCTCTCAACATGCATTTTATTTAAAAACAAGCAAGTTTAATTCATAAAAAAGTTGAATTTGTAATAAAGGCTAACTCATCTACTCCATTTGTTCACTTTATTAAAAATGAGTGTTTTGTTCAACCATTTCAATATTTTCTAGGAGGTTGCCGATACTAAATCACTAGAGGATTTGAATGTTAAAAAAAGAGAGATCTTTTATAACGCTAAATAACTCACTTGATTTGGTTGTCATTGACAGGAAGGAGCTGAAGAAGATGCAGGAGCAGGATGAAGATGCTACTCTCACCCAGCTCGCCACGGCTTGGGTTAACATCGCTGTGGTGAGGACGCCACTCACTCACTTACTGTTTAACATAATCACCATACACATATTACATTTATGAAGTCTCCTTTCCCTTTTCGTCACCTTGTAAGCATCTGAGTGGTATTTGTTATTGACTGAAGCTGCAATCATGTTTGAAATAGTCAGCATGCAGGGTAACGTGAAGGAGCTGTTGGTGCAGTACGAAGCCAAACAAAGCAGAACTGTGCTCCATTTAATTAGCTCAGTTCTAACATTGAACATCTTCTGGTTAAGTGCTCTTGACACCATAAAAACACAGGAGGATAGATTATCATTACAGAATCCTGCAAATACATTACTTCCAATAATCCAAACCATTGTAAATGCTATATCAGGGTGTCCGCGTTGTTGATAAATCAATTTAGCGAAAATGAAGGCTTTTAAAAAGTATTAAACGGCATTTTCCAAGGTATTACATTTTGTAGCTTGTTTCCAATAAGTATATAAATGGTCCAAAGAGGTTGTATTCTACAGTCTGCCTGAATGTAATCATTGCGTAGGTGTGTAGTGTGATTCTGTGTAGTTTATTTATGGCATCCCGTTGGATTTGACGTCATCTGAACAGGACATCGCACGCTCACTGCTTGATAGCGCGCGAAGGCCCGTTTACGCCGGTTGTTAAACAACATCGTTATGGGGAAATGCAAGTCTGCGTCCAAATGGTTGGAAGATAAGGAGGAAGGACAATCAATACTGTATATAGTCAATGTGAGGTAAAGTGTGTCGCCAAGGTAACCGGTTAAAACTCCAAGTGGCGATGAGGTCTTAAAATGTATGGAAAGGGTCTTAAAAGGTCTTACATTTGACTTCAGGATTCCTGCATATACCCTGTATATACATAAATGCGACTTTCTGTGGTCGTCATATTGACTGTGAGTTCGTTACAACACTTTTGAAACAAAGAAAGCAAACGGCAGTGTTTTTGTTTGTCGCTCTTTTTCATAACAATTTTTATCTGCCCTACATTTTACTGAAATATTGTGCTTGTGGTTTTCAGGGTGGAGAGAAGCTCCAGGATGCCTACTACATTTTCCAGGAGATGTCAGACAAGTACTCGACTACTCTGCTGCTCCTGAACGGGCAGGCGGCTTGCTACATGGCTCAGAACAAGTGGGAGGAGGCGGAGGGAGTCCTGCAGGAGGGGCTGGACAAAGTAAGAGGAACTTATATCGGGTTTTTCAAGGTTTCAAGGCTTTTATTGTCCTTCGTAGATAGCTACAGTGTTGTTATGTCAATGAAAATCTGAGGTCACAGGCTCCTCCAACAGTGCAACACAATAAAACAGATAGAATAGTGCATGTAAATACAAATTAAAACAAATAGAATAGAAATAGTGCAATCAGAGTCTACAAGTAATTGGAATATGATATGTTAGATACATAATCTGTAAATTGCAAACAGGTGAATGTTATGGATGTTCTAGTCTTTGTTCTTCTGACATACTTAGCATGGTGTGCAAACATGCAGAGTCCATTCAGCTAAAGCTCTCTGCGGTTTGTTTCTGAGGCTAGTATTACACGTGTATCCTTCATAATGAAATCTTTAATGAATCTGTTCTGTAGATAATTCCCTCACCAACATAATGTGAGAAGTGAACTGCTCCCTTTGTAACAGCAGATGGCACCACAAACACATTTACTGAAACTCAACCACAGCAACGGTTTCATCAGTGCATTCAATACAACCACACGTTCACTCTGCAGTAGTTTTTTGAAGTTTGTCATTTTTCATACTTGCTACTATAATTATTAAATAAGAGCTGCTTTGTCTCGCCTTTGAAGATATTGTAGCTCTCTTTCCAAAAGCATGTCAGATCAGTTTTTATTATGTTCTGAAAGTTGTTTATGCTCTGTTATGTTGAATCACAACTTTATTCAGACGCTGAGATGGCTTGAAACAACAGCTGCAATAATCACTGGAGCAATTTGTTAGACAGAAAAAATATATTGATAATCAATTAAATGTTAAGGTAATGTTTCATACACAATTGGCAGTAAATACCATCAAGCTTCTCAAATATGCGGTTTCCCAACTTTACCCTCATATAATAATTTTAAATGAACTTTGAAGCCTTATATCATAATTTGGTTTTGCAAAACAAGACATTTAAAGGTATCAAATTGGGTTTTAAGGAACCAGGATGGACATTTTTCACAAATGTATTAAATTACAATGAATGTACTGTGGCCCCACAAGAGCTTACAAAGAATATAATATATTTATTATATGGTTACATGCCGATTTACAGAAGCACGTTGCCCATAAACTACATGTCCCACAATGCATCTCAAATTAGACTTTTTTCTTAGAATTTGACTTTTTTCAAAATGTTACTGTTTTTTCAAAATTTCACTTTTTTTTAGTTTGACTTTTTTTCCAGAATTTGGCTTTTCTTTTTAAATCATTTTGTGACGTGCGCACTGAAGAGACTTGCAATTATTTGCCCTAGACTTCTTCTTTCAGACGTAGTTAATTATGTAGTTATTACCCTATCCCATAATAATCCAATGCAGAGGCAATAATGTAATATAATACATTATTTTATATATATTAGATATTTATATATGCATTTTTATATAGTCTTAAAGTTACAACCGGCCTGTTGAGTGCAACCATAATGCTATTGAGTTTGACACTCCTGATCTAGAACAATAATTAGCAGATTCATCCTTATTGAAAATATATTTGTTTCTGCCCTACTTAAATCTAAATCCATTCAAATGTAGATTTTCACAACTGTCGAGCTCATCTGAATCTCCCTTTGTCTCTTTGTTAAAATGTTACAAAGTGGTAGTTATCCATTGATGTATTCTTAAGCCAAACAAACAATCATAACATCCAGTAGACTCAGAAACAATGAGGGGCAAAGGGGGAAATTGCCCCCAAATTAAAATTATTAGCCCTATAAAACACAATAAAGTAACACACGTCCACCTCTAGGAATTAAACTGAAACTGGCATTGGAAAAACCCCGCTGTCTGCTTTAGCTGTGATAAAAGATATCACAGTCATTGGGAAGAAACGTGCTCTATACACGGTATATCTCTCGTTCCCCGTCTTGTCTCCACTGTTCCTCCTGTCGTCCTGAGTGCTACGGGAGGTCTGACTCTCACTTTGTGTTTCTCTCTTCCTCTTTAGGACAGCAGTCACCCTGAGACGTTGATCAACCTCATCGTGCTGACTCAGCACCTGGGCAAAGCTCCCGAGGTGAGACTTTGGACCGAAAGCTTTTAACCGCGGCGACGCTGCAACCGCCGTCAGTTTAGTATTTTTCCTTCAGGCTAACAGACAGACAGATAGTGGGAAGTAGCTAAGTACATGTGCTCAAGTACTGCCTTTAAGTATACGTTTGAAATACTTATAATTGTCATGAGTATTTCAGTTTTATACTGCTTTGTACTTCTACTCCACTACATTTTGGAAACTGATATTGTACGTTTTAATTCTCGACATTTATCAGACAGCTTTAAAGTACTTTACAGATTCAGATGATTAGCTAATGCAACATTTAAATTAACTCATGAGCATACATATGACCAGAGCTGGAAGAAGGAATCATATCTTGTACTTAAGTGAAAGTAGAAATGCCACCGTGTAGGTATACTCAAAAGTATTAGCATCAAAATATACTTAAAGTACCGAAAGTAAAAGCACTCGTTATGCAGATTGGCCCATTTTTTATTATTATATATAATCTGTTTTGATTTTAATTATCAATGTGTTTATCTCAGCTGGTAAAGGTGGAGCTTAGTAGCTTGTGTATTTGACTCCAGGTGTAACAAAAATCTTATTTAAGTGTTATTTATATCATTTTTCCAAATCTGTAAAGTAACTAAAGGTATTAAATAAATGTAATGGAGTAAAAGTACACTATTAACCTCTGAATTGTAGTGGGGTGGAAGTAATAGGTTGCAAACAATAATAATAAGTATAGTACAAGTACCTCAAAATTATCCTTAAAGGTGGGCTATGTAATTTTGGAGAAACCAGCTCGAGTGCGCTAGAATTTGAAAGTACACAGCCGGAAAAAATCTGCCCCTTCCTTCAGACTTCCTTACAGAGCCCCTCTTCCAACACACACGAACGCGCACATGACCAATAGAGTGGCAAAGTCACGCCCATCTACTTCCGCCCCATGGGACCTTATTTTGGAAAAATAATGTATTGAAGTCAATGGAGAGAGAAAACGTATCTTTCGATCCCGTTTGAATTGTGCCATGAATTACACATATGATGTTTGTCAATCTTAAAAAATCATTTCCATGTCAAAAAAGTCACAGTTTGTCGTAAAACTGTTGAAATATAAGACTATGAAAAATACGTAACTAGAAAGACTACAAATCCCAGAGTCGCGTAAGTGATGTCACAATTGTTTTCCTCCACCATTCAGATACCTAAGATCAGCGCAATATTGATATAATCTATCTATATGGCGCTGGCTAAGATAAGATAACTTTAACAAGATGCCTGTGTGCTTAGTACCAGGTTGTTATTATACCAGCAATGGGTCTTGCTCGTTCTTTTGCTTCCCGTCTGATGAAAGGACCAGGAGTGGCTTGATCAAGTTAGCTACCTAGCTAGTAGCTAGCACGTTAGTTAGCATTACAGCCTTGTCATTTTTATTAGCCTTAACATGAAGTAACATTAAGTAACCCAAAATGTTAAACAGTAAGAGTAGTAGTCATATTTCGTGAACCCTTTGAAGAGTACTGTCACCGGTGTGGTCATTCTATAATACACAATTTAAGCCCGGGGGAGAAATGCTAACGCTAACGCTACATTAGCTTCGGCGATCTTTTCTACTTCATGCTATCTGCACAAATGGCCGGCTCAGATGATTGGTCGCGCTTTTTACAGCGCCGCGGCTTCCACAGATTACATTTTTTTATGTATTTATTGTCAAAGCATTTAATATATTTATTGCTATCGGGATGTTAAGAGCATTCCATGGAATATAACAAGTGTTTCTGAAGTGAATTACCTACCCCACCTTTAAGTGCAGTACTTGAGTAAATGTACTTAGTTACTCTACTCCACTGCATGTAATTAAAGGTTAAGATCGGGCAGCAGTCATTAAAACTAGCTCCACCTTTACCAGCTGTGATGAACACGTTAATGAATCAATAATCATAAAGCAGTTATGTAATTTAAATGAAGACCATAAAACACAATCAGTACTTTTACTTTTGATACTTAAGGTTTGTTTTTATGTCAATTCAATGTAACTTCTACTTTAGTAAAGATCTGAGTGCTTCTTCACACACTGGTTCACAGAGGACATGAAATATCTCCACTTAGCTCAGAGTGCAGCATGCTTCTCTCAGCATTTTGTGTGTGTTTTCTCTGATTGAAGCGCGCAGAAAGCATTCAACCAAAGCGTTTTCTTGATTGTCTTCCCTATCACGAAAAAGTGTCATCGAAGCGTTTCCTCAGGTTTAGTGCTGTGTGCGTTGACACCCTGGAACTCAGAGTTCATAAGATAAAGCCTCAGATTATCTGTCCTACGTTTAATGGACTTGATAGTAATGCAATAGAAAGCTGACCATTGCCTCAAAGCCACCATTAAAAGAGTTCCACCGTTGATAACCGCTGATTAGCACATCTCACTCAAGGTTACTTACTACTTACGTAGTTCCTGTGTTCCTCTTGTGTGTCAGTCATCCACACCAATCAGAAGTGCTGTGCTCCACATGTACCAGCCATTGTTAACCAATCAGAAGTGGCCCATGATAGAAGGTGATAGACAGATTGATCCAATCACCTGCCAAGTATTTTTTGAAATACTTTTCCAAATGACTTCCAATGGAGCTTTCCTAGATGGTTTGGTGAAACAAAGCATCTGAGTCAGGTTAGTAATGCTCCATCACATGTTCTACATCTATTACAGGGTGAGTCTTAAACTGAAGCTTGACTTTAAAGCAACCCAACGGAAGCTTCATGTAAGTTTAGTTCTTTCACTCGTAGCTCGGGCTGCGGGGGTGCTAGAGACGGGAGCACGTTGATGCGACCTTCCTAGCCGGAGATATGGCCGCATTTTACAATAAACTTCCGTTGGGTCGCTTAAAAACTAATATCGCAAATCGAATCGCAATATCTGTCAGAAAAATCGCAATTAGATTATTTCGTGCAGCCCTAGTACAGTAGTAGAGAAACACCTTTTTAAATGGCCTTTCCTTTCCAAATATAATCAAAGTGATGTTAGATATTAAATAATAGATGTTCAAATATTGTTAGTGGCTTTAATCAGCTGCTCCTTTCTCTCTGAATGTTTTGTTTTCGGTTCCCTCACGCTATCATCATTACTCAAACTGGGTCTAGAGAAAAGAGAAAAGCCATTTATACTGTACAAATATCAACAGTATTTCATTATTTAAGTACCCCCTGATCTCTTTCTATTTCCCCCCCTCCATTACATTAAATATTAATAGCTAAAACTGTGGCCTGACGACACACATAAACAAACCCACAAAGGGCTTCAGATTTTGAATATAACCAGAGCTCACCTGCGACAAACCATTAAAAAGAGCACAGACGACCAAACAAATCAAGTTGTGTCCTGAGAAAAACACAAACATCTGCCTAGGACAATGTTGCATCCACATGCTCCTAAGATTTGTCTCATTGGGAATGCATTCTTCTGACATTGGGGAGCATGTCAATTACATCGTAATGTGGAAACAACATGGATGCTACATGTATTGTATTTTATTGCTCCGTGCATTTCCACAACAACAGCATTTATTCCGACTTAAGGGTATGTGAATGTAAATATTCACACTAAGAAACAAATTTTTCCAATTATTTTAACACCACACGTGTCAATTTAGAATAGAATTAGGAGGGATGAAACCCCTCTTTAATGGTCACACATGCAGAGCACACAGCACACACAGTGACATGTGTTCTCTGCTTTTAACCCATCCTATTACCAGGAGTCTAGCACTAGGAGCAGTGGGCAGCTATTGTACAGCGCCCGGGGAGCAATAGGAGTAGGGGGGGGAAGGGGGGTGTCCGGTGCCTTGCTCAAGGGCACCACGACAGGAGAGGAGGTGAACTGGGACCTCCCAAGTAGCAGTCTACACTCCATATTTTAGGTCTGGTCGGGGACTTGAACCGGCGACCCTGCGGCTCACAGTCCAAGCCCCTACTGACTGAGCCACTGCCGTATCAGCCTAAAAATGTAATGGAATATACCTTGGCCAATGCCACACCATTCAACCACGTTTTAGGAAAATTGGGCCATGAGTTTTTTTTGTAATCCTGCTGAAAAAATATGAACTCAGCCGAAACATGCCCTCGTTAGCAAAGGTAACAAAAGTTGCCTTAAATTTGGCAGAAAACTGTTTTGACTGTTTTTATGTGTTTTCTTTGCACCTTATCTTAATGGTTTTTGTTTTTGTCAAGCACTTTGAATTGGCCTGGGTTGAAATGGGCTGTACAAACACTCTGACGTTTCCCTTTCCTGCCCTTGCCTTTACAGATCTGAAAAACATGTTTTTAGGACACTGGGTGTTTCTCAATGTCGAGTAAAGCTGCTTCAGAGCCACTATTTCAAGCATACTACGTCATCGAGTGCCGCCGAAGTACTGTTCCAATGTCCAGCATACTTGGAAATCTACCGAGCCCGGCGTACTCCGTTTGGAGAAATATCGAGGCTGCACATGAGTAGACTTCGCGGTCTTAAAATCCCCACAATGCTTTGCGCACGGACCAATTTCCCCAAATCTGTGGCGGAAGATGTAAGGCGGGGCCTCTCATATGACACACACCTGCACACTTGCTAGCGTGTTCCACTCTTCGTTTTCCGAATGGCAGGAAGTATTCTTGCCTCGCTTCTGAAGCAAGATGCTCGGCAGACATGTGCTACCAAGCAAGCGTACTCGCGATTGAGAAACACCCTATGTGTTGTCACTAAGCTCTTCCTACTATAGTCACATTCTGACTCTTGCCTCATCTGTTCCCCTATCCACTCAGGTAACTAACCGGTACCTCTCTCAGCTGAAGGATGCCCACAGAGCCCATCCATTCCTGAAAGACTACTTAGCTAAGGTAACTTGATTGCATCTTTAATTGTTGTTAATTGTTTTTCATTGTGAGGGAGGACTCTGACCTGAGGGCAGGGCTATTTAGGTTCACCAGATCGACACACACTTGTTGATAAGCCGTCATAACCTTTACTCTCTCATGATTTAATTACCTTTGAGTGTTGGGCAGGAAGTGTCCTTGGATCAATGAGAGCATTCAACTCTGAGTTTTAGCCGTTGTCACAGTGAGTTGTAATAACAGGGGTGCAGTCTAGATGCACAGCTGCTCTGATGTTTCCTCTGGTGTTGAATTGTTTTTCTATCTTTGTTTCCCTGCAGGAGAATGAGTTTGACAGACTAGTGATGCAGTTCGCTCCCAGCGTTACAGCATAAGACGTCTGCTTTTCACCGAGACCCCTCTCCACAGTATATCACCATGAAGTTCCCTTTATAACTTGTGCTTGTTTTGATATTTTTACATGTCAAATTAAAACTGTAGCTGCATATTTAAACCACAACAGAAGTCATAATTCCCCCTGGCTGTAGATGCAACGACTCTTCTTATTCATTTGAATTTCTCTCATTGAAATCAACATCTCTTTTATTGTAAGCATTCCATTTAAATCATAATAAATGTTTATTGACATGCATTGTATTTGAAGTGTGGATTTAGTTTAGTAAGGTCTGTTAAATATTGACATCACAGCAGCTTTGGAAATGTAACATACATGTATTAATACATCTGTCAACAGGAGGCTTTAGACAAAATGCACATGTACATGCACAACAAATAAATCTGCAAATGCTTAGATTCAAATATATCTTCAATGGCTGCACAGATTCAGGTGTCTACCGGGGTTACGTTTTGAGAAAGGTGCTGTTTCTCCTTTAGCCATGTTTTAATACCTCTGTTTTGAGTATATTTTATTCGTCAAAGAAATATTTATTATAGATTGATGGAAAGATAGTTAGTCTTTGGACTCTATCGAATTAAATTACAACAGAAGGTGGATTAGGTAAATCAAGAGTTTCCAGTTGTAAGGCAAGGCAAGTTGATTTATATAGCACCTTTCAGTACGTGACCATTCAAAGTGCTTTACAAAATAAAATAAAACACATTTAAGAATAAATACAGTAAAAACACATTATATAATGGCATTTTACAACAGGCATTTCAAAGGCAAAGATAATTAGATAAACACAACAGTTATACAATACATGAATAAAAAGCAAACTGCAGTGTGAGTATGAACAGCTCAATTAAAAGCATTTCAATTAAAAGCAGCGGCAAAAATATATGTTTTCAGTCTCAATTTGAAAATAGTAAGAGTTTCTGCGGACGTGCACGATTCAGGCAGTTTGTTCCAGATTGTCGGGGCATAATAGCTAAACGCCGCTTCTCCATGTTTTGTTCTTACTCTCGGAACAGAGAGCAGACCCGATCCAGAGGACCTGAGACACCTTGATGGTTCATAGTTGTGCAGGAGATCGTTGATATACTTTGTATAATGTATACATAAACCCTATACAATGGGACCTATATATCAATGAGAAAAGTCTATAGAGAAAAACATATACAGAATTAAAGAAGAATACACCTGGATACTCAAAGTACTATATTTATATAGGCCATTATCACAAAAGGTACATTTGTCTCACTTTACAGTTTGTACAGAATACAAATACGACATCCTCTGTCCTTGGACCCTCACATCCAAAGAAACACCCAAGTTAATGGGGGGGAAATGCAATAGTGCAATAGATGTTTCATGTAAATAAAATAAAAAAATACATTTACAACTTAGGTAGTCCAAATGCTTGAAAATGCATGTGTCTATAAACAAAATAGTTTCATCCCACAGGCCATAAGACTGTTAAACACCTGCACTTTTGAAATAACATACATTACATTTAATTTAGCTGACGCTTTTATCCAAAGCGACTTACAATTATCAATTACAGGGACATCTCCCTGGAGTAACTAAGGACTAAGTGCCTTACTCAAGGGCACACTAGTGGTGGTGTCCCTGGCGGGATTTGAACTCATAACATGAATCTGTTTGTAACTTATATATATCAATATTCCAATTACTTGAATATAGACTATTCTGCACTATTTCTATTATAATATATTTTATTTTATTTACTTGCACTATTATCTGTTTTATTGTGTTGCACTGTTGGAGGAGCCTGGGACCTAAGAATGTAATTGTCATAATAACTACACTGTATATGCACACATGACAATAAAAGCCTTGAACCTTGAAGAAGATGGATCCAGGTGGATTTCAACCATCCTGTGGGAGCCGTCAAAGAAGTACTAAGGTGAGCAAACTCAAATATATACATTAGTGGGCAAAGTGAAGTTTTTATTTATTTATATATAATTGCAATGAGGTAGCTCTTGAAGCATTACTGTGTACTGAAGAATACACCTGGATACTCAAAGTATTACATTTATATAGGCCATTATCACAAAAGGTACATTTGTCTCACTTGACAGTTTGTACAGAATACAAATACGACATCCTCTGTCCTTGGACCCTCACATCCAAAGAAACACCCAAGTTAATGGGGACAACTTGGGAAGAGCAACAGAGAAGGGGTCCCTCTCCCAGGACGGACAGACGTGCAATAGATGTCGTGTGTAAATTAAAAATAAAATAAAACCTTTACAACATAGGTAGTTCAAAATGCATGTGACTATAAACAAGAAGGTGGATGTCAACAATCCTGTGGGAGCCATCAAAGAAGTAGAAGTCGTTTTTTTAACTTTATTTTTTGCCCCTTTGTTTGTTCACCATGTAAAGCGGCCTTGGTTCCCTTGAAAGGCGCTATACAAATGTCATCTATTATTATTATTTTAGTAAGGTGAGCAAACTCAAATATATACATTAGTGTGCAAAGTGAAGTTTTTATTTAATTATATATAATTGCAGTGAGGTAGCTCTTGAAGCATTACTGTGCACTGTCTCTTTAAATCATCATTTTTTAATCCTCCACCAGAAGACGGTTCAAGAAGACGAAGAAGATAGCGTCCCCCTCTAATTATGCCACGCCCCCTTTACGTTTCTTCTTCTTCTTCTGCATAATAAACGTACTCTGTCGCTGTCCTCTTTTCATCGTACCAGTTCATTTTGTATTGAAAGCGAAGCGCGTCGCGTCGTCACGTCGGCCAGCCCAGAGCGGCAGAAGCAGCAGCGGCGGGTAGAAGAAGAGGAGACGACCGGATAATACTCTCCCTATTTATCCTTTTTATTTCCTCTTCGCTGGACTTACTTGGTTTCTCGTTTGAATCTGTCGGGTTTTATCGGTACAGAGTCGTTACATAAGGTGAACAACGGACAGAGATGAGACCCGGATAGCGGCACTAAACGCGCATGTGCTGCCAGGCCGACTCTCACAGGCGGAAAACCTCCATGTGTGTTAGCGCCATCACGGTTTTTTAATTTTAAAAAGAGGGTAATTTATTCCAGTAGCTTGTGGAGCTTCATCCGATGCTGTACCCCTCACTATTGTGTGATTTCACTGAACTAGGAGGCTAACGGTCGCGCCGCTGCCCTGCCGCTTGATGAGCCGCGTGAGCGTTACGGGATGATGCGCAGAAGAAACCTCCACCTCCAGCAGACATTCAGGCGTTAATGGCTCATTATACCCGTCAAAACCACCTTTAATAACAAGGTTGTGTGATATAAAACACAGCCTCCTAGTGTGTGTGTGTTTGTGTGTGTGAAGCTACCGGGCCCTGTCACAAAACTGTCCTGCACGCGCAGAATGGGCCCGTGTCTTAATTTGGAAAACAAAGAATTAGGCTGCTGAAGAAGAAGAAGAGGAGGAGGAGGAGGAGGAGGAGGGAGGGTAATCTGGTTAGATAAGCTTATTTTACCGTTTTTAAGGTGCTTATAGCCACACAGTCTGGACTCTAACTGCTCCTTTCTGGCCTCCTCATTTGGAGTATTTCCCCTTCACGTTTTTTGTTCTTTCTCCGCACCGCCCCACCATGAGCGGTGACACCGGGGACTCCGGGCCGGTGGAAGTGGAGCCCATGCCGGGATACTTGTACCTCATCAACCGGGCCTCCACCGTGATGTTTGGCGCCTGGAGAGACTGTAGCTCCTGCGGGCTGGAGCTCTCCAAACGGACTCTCCTGGATAACGCTTACATTACCTTTACCGAAATCGCCCTGTTCTTCTTTTGCGCCTTTTTGTGGACGCAGGTCAGGCGGGGACTGACAGAAAGTCTGTTTCAGGTGAGTGACACACGCACACGCACACACACACACACACACACACACACACACACACACACACACACACACACACACACACACACACACACACACACACACACACACACACACACACACACACACACATCCCCAAGGTTCATCTACTGACACCCTTTAATTAATGGCTTTGCATGCTCATCCCTCTAATTAGAGCCTGCAGAAGGGACAACATGGAGTGCAGGTGGGAGTTGGAACTAACACATGCTAACAAATATTAAATGTAGTTGTATGCTTAAGATAAAGTGTGCATGTTGGACAGTAAACACCCTTATCTTTACTCGTGGTTGGGCAAACATTTGAGCTCAACAGGTGAAACAAATAAGTCTGAATTGGTGAAATATCTTTGGAAGGGTTGCAACTAATGATTATCTTCATTATTGATGAATCTGCAGATTATAACACTCAAATCATTATTAAAGATCAATTTGGTTGTTACAGTGTCAGCAATTTTGGAATATAGTCATCACAGTTTCTCAAAGTCCAATGGATGTCTAGTTCTGTTATTCCAAAACCTCAACATATTCACTGTAATATAATATAGAACAGAGTAAAGCTGAACATGTCCATACCAAGAGGCTAAAAACAGCATTTTCTGCCATCCTTACATAAAGAAAATAGTGTAATGATTAGTTGATTATCCAAAAAGCTGGCAATTATTGTTCCGTCCATCGACTAATCGATTAGTATTCTTCAAGCTCTACTTATTGCTGAGCATTCATTGGCATAAATCCAGTTTACTGTGTACATTTAAAAAAAAAAATCTATTCTAACATAATGACGGATATTGGCCTTCCATTGCTCATAACATACATATATTTGACATAAAAAGGTTCTATAATGACCATTAAAGTCCCAGTTACAACCAGAGAGCTGTATCTATCTATCCATCCACCCATCCATCTTCTCCCGCTTATCCGTGGTCGGGTCGTGGAGGTAGCAGTTCCAGCAGAGAGCCCCACACTTTCCTTTCCCTGGCCACATCAACCAGCTCTGACTGGGGGATCCCAAGGTGCTCCCAGGCCAGCGAAGAGATATAATCCCTCCACCTGGTCCTAGGTCTACCCCTCGGTCTCTTCCCAGCTGGACGTGCCTGGAACCCCTCCCTAGGGCGGCGCCCAGGTGGCATCTTCACTAGGTGCCCGAACCACCTCAACTGGCTCCTTTCAACGCGAAGGAGGAGCGGTTCAACTCCGAGTCCCTCCCGGATGACTGAACTTCTCACCTTATCCCTAAGGGAGACGCCAGCCACCCTGCGGAGAAAACCCATCTCGGCAGTATTTAGCTGATAAAGCTGATTATTCTTACATATTGAATGTCTGATACGAACAATACACAACAGCATCTATTTTCTGTCAGTGCTCAATGAACACATCCCATTCATACTCTGCTATTCTATCCATTTGTGTCAGTCAATATAATCCAAGAGCCACCTTTTGGAAATTGGCAGTGAGCTCATGAATTGACCTAATTAGGGGTGAGTAATACAGATAATACTGTATATGTAATTCTACTAATTTAACATTTAAATATCAGTTTCTTAAATTCATTCATTGTCTGGTAGATGAATTAAACAGCTAAGGGATGACTTGAGGATGGCAACCTCCTCAATATGTTTTTATCTCATATTCAAGTGAATATCTTTGGGTTTTATACTGACAAAACAAGACATTTAAACACACTATGCTGTTTTCAGATATTCTATAGACCTAAAGATGAATTGAGAAAAGGATAGTCAGATAAATCATCATTAAAAAAAAGCCTTTTATTGCAGCCCTAGTTTCTTCACATTGATGCATTCATCTTAAAAAATCTAATTGCAATCAGCCCTGCTCATTGATTTGCAACATTGCCCACAAAAGCCAGGATGTGGCTCGTTACTCTGCTGTAAGGGGGGGGGGGGCTAGAAGTGCTAGAAGCTCAACGATGAAACTACAGCAGCTCAGGGCCCCGTGTGTGAAGCCAGATGTGACCCGAGAATGCAAAGAATGAGGCCTGTTTTACACTTTACATTACATACTGTGTGTGTGTGTGTGTGTGTGTGTGTGTGTGTGTGTGTGTGTGTGTGTGTGTGTGTGTGTGTGTGTGTGTGTGTGTGTGTGTGTGTGTGTGTGTGTGTGTGTGTGTGTGTGTGTGTGTGTGTGTGTGTGTGTGTGTGTGTGTGTGTGTGTGTGTGTTTTATCTGATCCGGATGGTTACTAATTCCATTTCTTTATGGGGAACACCATGGGTGTTTACAAAGTTGACTAAAGTGTGTGTAAATCATTGACCTCCATGGAACAATATGAGACACTACCTCCCATTTAGGAGGTGGCTACTATAAAGGCTGTAAAGGAAAGCGCTGCTGCACTATGAATCAAAATGTAATAGTGGTACAGGAATAACTGCTAAAACCCTGGAAATGAGTCAGCATTTAGCACTTCCTATTCCCTTGCCTGGAAATTGAAATGTTTACGGTTAGATTCCTCAAATAAGATCTGTGGTTAACCCAAGCTGAAGAGATTTTTGCATTTTGTTCTACGATATAATAAAATGTTTCAGTTAATACCCCACTGGTGAATTTCAAAACGGCGGTTGCTAACAAGTGTCTAAATGAGACGACTAAACGTCATCACGCCCAACATTAGCTGCCTTTAGCTTAGCGGTGGTGACATGAAGTCATGTGACCGTGCTGTAGTTACTTTATAGCCCAACATTAGCCACCTTTAGCTTAGCGGTGGTGACGTGAAGTCATGTGACCGTGCTGTAGTTCCTTCATAGCCCAACATTAGCCACCTTTAGCTTAGCGGTGGTGACGTGAAGTCATGTGACCGTGCTGTAGTTCCTTCATAGCCCAACATTAGCCGCCTTTAGCTTAGCGGTGGTGACGTGAAGTCATGTGACCTTGCTGTAGTTCCTTTATAGAGTGGCGAAGTCCCTCCCCTTCCGGTGGACCTCCATGGGACCTTATTTCGGAAAAATTATGTATTGAAGTCAATGGAGAGAGAAAGATTATCTTTCGATCCCGTTTGAATTGTGCCACGAATTACACATATGTTGTTTGTCAATTTAAAAGATAATTTTGCAAGTCAAAAAAAAAAAAATGTGTCGTAAAACTGTGAAGTAACACATTTGTTTGTGTGAAACGCTCAATGAACTACATCTCTGGTGAACATGAACAACACACGTCACCAAGATGGCCGTCACTACTGTCTTGTCAACACAACGATTGACTACCCTCACTATCACCACAATGAAACACGTCCTGAAGAATGTCATGCAAAGCTGCCTGCCTGCCTTCCTTTGATTCTCTCTGAACTGCCTGGTCGTTTTAATGTTTAATGTCAACCATTTGTGCAGATAGCATGAAGTAGAGAAGATCGCCGATGCTAACGTTAGCGTTAGCATTCCTCCCCCGGGCTTAAATGGTGTATTATAGAATGATCACACCGGTGACAGTACTATTCAAAGGGTTCACGAAATATGACTACTACTCTTACTGTTTAACATTTTGGGTTACTTAATGTTACTTCATGTTAAGGCTAATAAAAATGACAAGGCTGTAATGCTAACTAACGTGCTAGCTACTAGCTAAGTAGCTAACTTGATCAAGCCACTCCTGGTCCTTTCATCAGACGGGAAGCAAAAGAACGAGCAAGACCCATTGCTGGTATAATAACAACCTGGTACTAAGCACACAGGCATCTTGTTAAAGTTATCTTATCTTAGCCAGCGCCATATAGATAGATTATATCTATATTGCGCTGATCTTAGGTATCTGAATGGTGGAGGAAAACAATTGTGACATCACTTACGCGACTCTGGGATTTGTAGTCTTTCTAGTTACGTATTTTTCATAGTCTTATATTTCAACAGTTTTACGACAAACTGTGACTTTTTTTACATGGAAATTATTTTTTAAGATTGACAAACATCATATGTGTAATTCATGGCACAATTCAAACGGGATCGAAAGATAAGTTTTCTCTCCCCATTGACTTCAATGCATAATTTTTCCGAAATAAGGTCCCATTACCCGGAAGTAAGTGGGCGTGACTTCGCCACTCTATAGCCCAACATTAGCCGCCTTTAGCTTAGCGGTGGTGATGTGAAGTCATGTGACCGTGCTGTAGTTCCTTCATAGCCCAACATTAGCCGCCTTTAGCTTAGTGGTGGTGACGTGAAGTCATGTGACCGTGCTGTAGTTCCTTTATAGCCCAACATTAGAGATTATTTTCAGCAATAATCCAAAATCACATGGAGAAATCATATTGCTTTTTGTCGAGGGACTCCTTTCAATGCTAACTTCCAGTTTGGCCTACAAAAAAGAGTCATAACTGCAAATGGCAGGAGGCGCAATATTTGGTTAATTATGTTTAAATAATTATGCAGAATTAAAGATTATGGCGCTGCAGAGATATCCTGTCCTACAAATCTATTTCTACAGACTTAATAAGACATCTTTGGTTGTTACAAATTCTCTTAAAAACACCATCGCCATAATGATTTAACATATATATTTAAATGAAAATGAGAATAATGATACCAAAATAATGTATAATCGCAATTGCAGTAAACGTCAAAAATAATCGCAATTAGTTATTTATTCAAAATGGTGTAGGATCAGGTGATATGATAACAAAAAAATATCGAATGTTGCCCTTTGTAATATAGTGCATGTGTAATACTACTTTTACAAAGCTTACATTAGGTATTAAGAGGATAGGTAGGTTCAGTGTTAGGTCAGAGTTAATTAAACACAAATATTGCTCTAATACATCACAAAAGCTGCGGCTGGTTGTCAGAAAAGCACACCGACTGTATTTCCATTCATTTTTTAGGCCCGGCTAATATTTCTTGAACCATACACAGTGATGCAAATTAGTGGCTTTTCGAAAAAAGGCGAAATGAATGGGCTGTGATTTAGCAGAATTTGTACGGCCCTCGGAGGATGTTGTAAAAATTGAAAGGAAAAAGGTTCCCCA